GGTGGAATCCTGGTTTTCATTCTTTCTCTTACTGCTGACTCTCTAAGGAAAATGTTTCAGCAGACTGAGGAGAAGGGATGTCTCTTAGGGAGTTTCCATCCTGGTACGCTTTTGCATTTGGTTCTTGCTATGTGGTTGTTTTCAGTCTCCAGGATTTTTGCATGGCCCTCAGTAGCAAAGGGAGTCAAGTTGCCCTTGCTAACAGGATTTTATGTAAGTGCAGAGAGCCACTATGCTGCTGTCACAGCTTGTTAAGAGATAGAGAGGAAGACCAGCATCACCAAGATCAAAGTTCAAGAACTTTATACACCCTGTTGGGATGAGCCAAACTACACTAAGTACCAGTACAAAGTTGTTGATGGGGGTTAGATCATGTTTTGTGGTCAGGACTGGTCCTATGCAGCCATTTTCCACAGCAGTTAGCATGGTGGTGCACGCTACATATCTCTGACGAGGCCTGTTGTTGCCCTGTCGCTTGGGCATCCTCCCACCACTTTTATTGCGTATAAGGAGTAAATTTGTTATTTTCCATTGGGGAGTTACTATCTCTGCTCAGTCCTTGCTGTCAAACTTGTAGTTTCATGTTCCTTCAGCATGCTAGGGTAAAGATGACCCTGTTTATACAGTTAAAAATCCATCAAGGAAATGTTGAAATTTGTTATAACCTCAGGAGCAGTAATTTTTGTTATCTTCTCATTCCCCATAAGTAACCTGCCTTTGTTGGTAAGCTCAACTTTGTAACTCTACATGCAAGTAAAGCAGTTATTGTGGGAACATGCTGACATTATTTACTGTCATTCTTCAGAAAATGCATTTTTCACTTTTGTATCTTCTTTTATTGCTGCACTCCCTGGCTTCTTTATTCATAGATTTCTTTCACAATCAGCCCTTTTTTTTTTATTTATTTTTGTAGACTTGCCATTTCTACTTACTATCTTTTTGAACCTTAAGACTTCAATTTTTTTCTTCTCCCCTTACCTAAGATACAAATTTGAACTAGAGTTTGCATTTTTGGCTTGTTGATTAGGTATCTGCAATCTTTTCACTCTGACATCAAGTGTATCCAGACTTTATAACATACTTTGAGGGAAAGAATTATCAAAGATATGAAAGTGAATGGAAAATAGGTTAGAATGCTACATGAAATTACTAAAGGTACATTGTACCTCATTAATCCAGTATCTTTATTTGAAAAGTGGATGAGGGTAGGGTTTAAGGTAGAAATTATAAAGTGGGTGGTAAACTGACTAAGTGAAAGATGGCAATGTGTAGAGCTAGAAGAGTAGGAATTAGCCTTGAGGAATTTTGCGTGCAGAGTTCTTCAAAAATTATTTTGGGGATTGGTTTCTTTAATATTTTGATTCATAATGTGGACAATTAGGTTCTCAAAAAAGAGACTGATTTTTGACGTGAAGAAATGCTCAGATGTGGCTGAGTATTGATATTTCAGTTTGAGGATGACATAAATATACACCTGACATAAATATACACCTGACATAAATATTCACCTGTGACTTGTTTCTCCAGACAGCACTTCCTGATCTCCCTTTCACAGGGACTGGCTTTGATGAGATCGGAAACAAACCAGAAAAGCTTGACAAAAGAGTAAAGGCCAGCTACAAGCAGGAGATTATTCTCCTGGTACGGATCAGATGTTTTCAACATTTGTCAGAGCACTGTGGAGAGAGAGAGATGAAGAGGGCTCCACCTGGGACCGATATGTGCTAGGTATCTATTCCACAGATTTAATTTCATGCCAATGCAAACATTTTAAGAGTGTGTGCTTGGTCAAAGATAAATATCACATATGCAAGAAAGCAGAGTTCCCTGACCCTGTGTAAATCAAAAAACGGCCATCAGTTTTCCTTCCTTTCCCCCTTCCAGATATTTCCATGCAGCTCTAGCAAATCTTGTACGGCCAAATTCAGCCTCTCCCCCCCAAGTCCTCCTCCACAGGAAATGGTGGGGGTGGGTGGCACATGGAAAGAAACTGCAAAGTCAGTATTTCAGAATATCCTGTTGGGGAAAGCTATTTCTGCAGCAGTGGCTGGGAAGGCACAAAGGAGTGCTGGTTCCCTGTACCCCAGCCCCAGGACTGTCAGGAGAAAGCAGCACATGGAGCTGGAGCTTGGCACCAAGCATAGGTGTGTACAGGGAGTAGGGCTTTTATTTGGTCTCAGCTCTCAGCTGATTGCTCCTGAGTCACAGTTGATTTCCTTGGAGTAGAATAGGTGCTGCAGGGCCTGCTTTCTACTGCTGTGCTTTTGCCACCTCTCAAACACCTGTGGGGTCCCACTCCCCATGTCAAAGGAGATTTTTAGATCTCTTGCGGGGTCCTAGACTTCAGGTCACACTGAGTTTCTGAAGAGCAACTGAAGAACCCAGGTGAAAAACCAGCAAATAAATACAAAACAAGATAACAAACAAGGTTCCAAAAGCTTCCTAAACCCAGCATTTTTCAACAGAAAACTGTTGGCCAGAAAAATATCAGACCAACTCCACTAAATTTACTTATTTATGCTTCCCCAGCAGTAAAATACATTTTTATTTTTTTCAGTTTCTCTGAGAACCATGTACAGAGGTTCAGCTAATAAGCAAACACCCTAAAATGCTTTCAGTATTCCTGAAGAAAATCCTTGCATGGGTGTGCAAATTCAGAAACAAGGAAATGTCCCTCTACCTCAAGAATTTAATTAACTCACTGCACTCACAGCTGTAAAGGACTCAAATGATCGCTATTTCATAGATGTGCCATAGAAAAGTTATGCAATATTTTTGGTGTTTGCTTTGTATCTAAGGAACTTGACATTTTCTAAAGATCAGCCTCTTCAAAAGAGCCTTATACAATTTACAAATGGACCAAATGGATCAGCTGAGATCTGTCTGTCCAGCAGCAAAAATAATCACATATTTCTGCAGCAGACCTGATTCTAGAATAATACTGACTATAATGAACTATGGAAAAACATACCTTGCTCCCAGTTAAAATGGGTTTTGAAGTTTTTCTCTCAAAAAACCACCCATTTTTTAATCTAAGATTACATTCTTCAGTGTATTGCAAGGCTCTCTATTTTTCCATCCAGGAGGCATATTTTTTTTCTTTTTTCCCCTCTTTTTCAAGGATATTCAGAAGAGATTTGCACTGCTTCAGGAGTAATCTGTGAGATGGGAACTATACACTAAGAGTGACAGGTAAGGGAGATCATGGTGGCCTGGCTAAGCAAGTAAAGGGAGTAAGTTGTCATGGAAAAGGGAGACTCCAAAACTGGCAAAACAGGGCTGACAGTGGCCCACCTCAAGCATATGTACACAAATACAGAAGTGGTAAGAGGACAGGATGATGGGAGAAGCATTCACATCCTTTCTGGAAAATCTAGAAGAGTGTGCAACTCTCTAAGATGCATGGAAGGGGAAACCAGGTTTGATCAAGATGTTAGTCTTCTATAAGGAGATTACTGGCTCATTAGATGAGAGGAGAGCCATGGATGGTTTTATCTTGACTTCAGCAGTGCTTTGGACATCTTTCCCATTGCTGCCCCCTTCAAAACAAGCTGAGGAATTACATCTACGAATGGATGACAGTGAGGTGGATTGAAAATTGGCTGAACTGCCAGGTTCACAGGGCTTTCAAAAACATGTTCCTGGATCTGCTGAGCACACATTGCAGTTATTACACGTACATACATTATACACATATGGCATACAATAAATATATATATTATACATACCTATGTAGACACATTCCAATTTCCCAATGCAGAAACAAATAAGCATCTGCGTGGAAGTGCAGTTGGCTTCAGGTAAACCCAACAGCTGTATCATGAGAGGATGGTAAAATTCTAGCAGTATTAACTGGAGAGGTAAAACAGCATTTATCAAGCAAAAGTGTTTTAAATCAATAGGATTCATTAATTTACATCTATATACCACAAACTGGTATTACATTTCAATACATCTTGAAATATGGGGGAACTAAAAGTCTTCAAAATTGTATCAATTCTCAAAAAAGGTAAGGTTATCTGACTGAATTTGACAACAGTGTGCCTGTTTTTTATTCCAGGCAAAATAAATATAAATTCTACAAGGGATCCAACTAAAACAGAAGAACAAGAAAGGCAAAATACTAGTTTGCATGGCTTTTGAGGAATCAGAACTCATTAAATGAACTAAATTTTCTTTCATTATCAGACCATGCACCTGATTTACTCATGCAGAATTAAATATATAAGAGTTTATAAGCCATCCACTTTAATACTATTTAATATTGTTAAATAAAAAGTAGTACTCTAAGAGGCCTTTTCCAAATGTAATGATTCTATGATTCTATCTCAATTCAGCAGAGACTAGCTAAAAATTGGGTGTAAAATTTGCTAGCTAGTAACTGGAGAGTCACTCCCAAATGTACATATTTCTGCAAAGCTTCCTCAGTGATCAATATTTTGCACATGTATTTTTCATGCTCAGTGAAAGGACAAGAACAAACCCCACTTTGTTCTTTTCCAAACACTATCAGGGTAACACTATCAGGATATCTTAAGTATACAGTGGACTATACATAGTGGACATAAGTATGTTTAGCAGAATGTTCACAGACAAAAGAATGCCTTTGAGAAAAGAAATGCTCCAAATTAGTCATCATATTGTGTCGTCAGTTTACTGCAGGTTGACTGTGCACTGAGCATCCATCCCAACTCAGAACTGCCATGAGTAGTTCATGGTAGGTAAGCCCTAAGAGGCTCATGGAAACTCCCAGCTGACACACCAGCCAGCCTGTAAATCCAGTGTGCAATGGCAGATGCAGGTTCTGGGTGTCAGAGGAAGAGGTGTTCATCACCATTGCACTGAACCCGGCCCTACACACAGCCACAGTCCCCGGCACTGCTGTTGTGGGGCACTCCAGTGCATTCCTGACAAAATCTAGATGCAGCTCTGAAGTTATTTAAAGATGAATAGAAAACTCTGCAGCAGGGGTTTGGGCTGTGAGCAGTGTTTTCCTTCTATCACGTCACCGATGTGTTGCTATGCAGGGTGAGCCCCCTCAAGCCTGTTTAGACAAAATTGTTTATGTTTTAATTTTTTTGACTTTTCCCCTGGATTCTCATTTTCCTACTCTCTTTTTGCCTTTTTTTTTTTTTTTAACTTTTTTTTTTTTTTAACACTTTTGCTGAGGCAACTGGTGGCAGAAACAAGGAGGTAGACACAATAGATGCCTGACCCCACAAGGTTAACATGTCATGACATTTAGAGTCAAGGGCCAGTGACCGCTTGGTCAAAACATGACTGTAGAGATGGGAATGATTCAACAAAAGCTTTTCTGTGGGGGTAAGCAAACCTAATTTACCAAAGGTATAGGGTCCCCCAGTGGGCTTTGCCGGAATACCTGGCCATGCCGGATTGCCACAAATCAAAAAGTATCCTTTCGGGAGTTGACGAGCAACTGTTACACCAGGTGAGGGTCGCTTGTGTGTATATAAACACCAAGCAGATGCATTCTGGTAAAAGGGCATATCTAGAGACAAGTCTTGTGAAAGGGTTTCTGTGGTAGCAGAAGCATCATATCCCTTACTGTACTTATTAGCCAGCAGTGTTGCACCCGTATAATCAAAATAAAAGCAAGCAGCAGCAGTTAAGGTACCCAAAATATCTAACTCCTGCGGTGCAATGCCTACTGGTAACTTAACAAGCCAGTCGTTTACATTTGCGATGCAGCTCTGCACAGAAGCATTACAAGCCTTTGTTCCTAAATCAGGTAATCGTTTAACATTAGAAACAAGTTTCACTGCATCAGAGTTATTTACAGGTGCCCCAACAAGGAATGTGTGAAAAGGCAGCTCTGGTTTCACCAAGGAGGCACAGAAGATAGTCTGGTTCAGTGCTTTCATCAGGGTCACCCAGACGTTGTGGCTGTTCCACGGGCTGAGTCGTTCGAGCTGTTCCGCGTAGGAGTCATCACTGCCGGTTCCCCCGACGCAAAAAAGGACGAACGTACCGAGCAGGAACCCACCGCGGTCCATCATCTGTAGAAACACAAGCATAACCCTTTCCCCAGGTTATCAGTTGATGAGGGCTGGACCACTGTCCAGAAACCAGGTCCTGTACCTGAACGGGAGCAGGAGCAGTCATAGGTTGAGATGACACTAACGAGGAAAAATGCAAAAAGAGAGTAGGAAAATGAGAATCCAGGGGAAAAGTCAAAAAATTTAAAACATAAACAGCTTTGTCTAAACAGGCTTGAGGGGGCTTACCCTGCATTGCTCCATGGGTCTCTTCCCCTCTCTGCTCTGGTGCCAGCCTGCAGCTGCCCAAACCCACTCATCTGATCTGTCCCACGTTAAGTCCAGCCAGCAAGCCGTGGGTCTGCCATGCAATGTGCCTTAGGCACAGTACCAGTGAGTGCCACAGGATTTGTCTGCAAGCTTCAGGTCCCCTGCTGAGACTCCACAGCCCTGGATGTCCTGCCTATGCAAAGCCTCAGGACAGCGAGGTGCCTTCAATGTGACATCAGGGACACAGTCAAGGACACCCTGCAAAAGAGGGCACGGCTCAGCCTCCCCATCCCCTGGTTTTCCTCACCATCCTCACAGCATGTCCCCATTCCCCAGTTTCCACTCAGGAGTGACTTCTCCAGAAGACCTGAAAGTTGGGGGTTGCCAGGGGCAGGTGGCCCCTGATCGATTTGGGAGTATTTCTATGGTAGATAATTTATGTGCCTCTTTAGTTGATGCCTTTATTGTTTGGATTAGTAATTAAGACTAACTTTTGTCAGGCACCATGAAGCAAGCCTAAAGCAGATTCATATATCCTTCCTTCATAACCTTGACTTAGAAAAATTCCATGCAGGAAAAGTCCATATTGCACAGATTTTTTTCCCTATAACTCTAATCAGGAATGGTACATATTTGGCTCAAGGCAGTGATACATATTTGTGAACTTTCCTTGCTCCTGGGTGGCTTCTGAAAATGTCAAATCTAGAATTTGAGCACTTCCTTTTGTGATGTAATTTGAGAAAGCAGGTTTGTAAACAATTGGACTATATCTGCTGTTGACGACATTAACTGCATCTATTAGTGAAGTCATACATCCAATTACTGTTTCCAGTAAGTCTGTAAGTAGTAATGCAGCAAAAGACAGAGGTTTTACAATGAACAGTGTCAGCTACTCAATAAAAGTATATTTGATTGTCTCCATACCATGTGTTCTGTCATTACTGAACAGAAAATAAATTAAACCAAGGCTTTCTCCAAGTAACATTTTAGAAGTTATCCACAAATTCATGAAATTAAAGCTTGGTATATATACTCTTCAGAGTCAATACAAATATGGAGCCTGTTGAGCTTGAAATTATTTTATAGTTACTTCTGTAAAGGAGCTTAATCACAGTTCATTCAACTCAATAGAGATTTCACTTTATAACATAGCTGAATCAGTGTGACTTGAAGGATCATCTTGCACCAATATGTCTGATACTAAATTTAATTAAATATTTCGGCTAAATATCTTTTGCCTTGATTGACTAATCATGGGTCCTAAACTGAGACTTCAGCTTCCAGAAAAATACCTCCTTTGTGTATCCACCTGCTTCAGTGTGGGGTCCCCCATGGGCTACAGGTGGATCTCTGCTCCCCTGTGGACCTCCATGGGCTGCAGGGGCACAGCTGCCTCACCACAGTCTGCATCACAGGCTGCAGGGGAATCTCTGCTCTGGCAACTGGAGCACTTCTCTGCCTCTTCTCCTCCAGTGACCTTTGGGTCTGCAGGGCTGTTTCTCTCACATATTCTCACCCCGCTCTTCTCTGCCTGCAAGCTGTCTGACAGAATTCGGTGACAGTTTGCCTGATGTTAATTCCTAATCAAAAAAAAATTCAAGTTCTACAAGGGGTCTGATTAATACTGAACAGCAGGTTCTGTATTAATACAGAATAGCAGGGGTTTTTTCCTGTCTCAAATATGTTATCCCAGGGGTAGTACCACTGTCACTGATGAGCTCAGCTGTGGAGACAGCTGGCATTGGCTCCACTGGACATGGGGAAAACGTCCAGCAGCTTCTCACTAAAGCCACACCTGTAGTCCCCCTGCAGCCCCCCACTAGCAAAACCGAAACATGCAAACCCAATGCAGTGTTTTAGAATGATAAGCACTAATCAATTGTTCATTTTCCTTAGAATTCAGGAGTTATTTCTGCTTACGTCTTGTAATTATTAATTTAAAAGGACAGAAAATACGTGAAGATAGTTTAAGCATCTAAAAAGGTATTAGCAAAAGAATAAAATGCAAAATCAAAAAAGTTACAGAGATTAATTCCTTTGAATATTTTACTAGAAAATAGAATGTGCTTTTTCTTCTAATTGCAATTTCCTAATAAGAAAGGAGTTATTAAAATTGTAATAGTTAACAGGCTTTGTATAAATTTTTCTGTTATATTGCTTGGACTTTCTTAGCTTTTGTACTCTGGCCTGCTGAATTCTGTTTATTTCTCAGCATTTTAGTGGACTGCCAATCTATGTAGTAGGATCAGAATTAAATCAGAATGCTAGAAAGGTTTGAAAAATATTTAACCTTGCAACAATCCAGGACCTTATTGAATACCATGCTGCAGAAATAACTGCAAACATAAAAATGAATCTGTTATCACAGGCAGGAGACATACAAAATGGAACCTTATTTTTTAAACACTCTGGTGTTCCTGTGATGAGTTCTCAGTGTCATAACTCATGTATTTAGTTTTGCAACCCAAAAAATACAGAAGAAAAAATAATTTCTATTTTATATCTGTTCATTGTAGAAAATTAATTGGATTTTGACATTTTTTGTCTGCAGCTACATATCACAAAATAGCTAAGACTGGAAACATCTACTTCATTTTCCTGTACATCTCATAGTTTCCCCATCCCTATTTCAGCTGAGAGACACAAAGCTATGTTTTTGTACATGGGCCAGGAAAAGAGATACAAGGACAGAGAGAGTGACATTTTCTCCCTCTACACTTAGGTGTAGGTACATGGTGAACGCAGAAGTCCTGGTCTGACAAGCATTCTGACCAGCACCTGGTCAAAGTATGCTCTAACGCCTGCTTAGGAAGTGTCATGTGTTACTTCTGCATGAAAACCCAGGTGTATCAGAGGAATTAAGGGTCTGGCAGGCACCCAAGCAGAAGAGGAGTTAAGCACAGTGATGTTAAGCCACAGCCAAAGCTTATCCATCCCACCTTAACTAGTAAGTCCTTCTCACATCTATCTCTATAAATGCAAATTCTGCACACTTACAGAAAGAGATTACCCACCCTACACATTCCCATCACACAATCTTCATCCAAAGGTCCATCTAAGCAAGCCTCACACCTGCTGGGAGCCTATAGCAGATGCCTGTGGAAGCTATCAAGGCAAAACAAGACTCAGCCTTCAGAAACCTCTGGTGCAGGCATTTCCTATTCTGGTGTCAATGTCTGTGAACATAATAGCACAAGGGAAGGTTTAGATTGGATATTAAGAAAAATTTCTTTACTGAAAGGGTGGTCAAGCACTGGAACAAGTTGCTCAGGGAAATGGTGGAATCACCGTCTCTGGAGGTGTTAAAAATGTGTAGGTGTGGTGCTTAGGGACATGTGTTTAGTGGTGGACCTTAGAATGTTGGGTTAATGGCTGGACTCAACGATCTTGGAGGTTTTTTCCCAACCTTAATGATCATATGGTTCTATACATTCATCTCCCATGAATCCATCCAAGTCTCTTTGGAATACACGTAAACTTTTACTGTCTTTAGCAAACGTTTTATGTGCAAAGATTCATTGCCACGAGCCCCTCTTCCCCCGTGCTAAATATAAAATTCCCCACAAAGTACAGTACAAAAACATTAAAAAAAAAAAGATGTGTGAAAACCACAGTACACGGAAGTCCTGACAGGTAGTGCATGCCCTGAGGGTTTTCGCATGGAAAGCAAACAGCAGTGACCGCAGTTCTGGGCTGCAAGGGGAGCCCAGGACATGCAGTGCCTCCTGCCATCCCGTGTCCTGGGCCGAGCAATGCAGGGAGGTAACACGTGACATCACAGCTGGAGGAGACTGTAGGCAAAATACACTCAGGAAAAGGAAACAGAAAAAGAGAAAGAGGAAGAAAAAAAGAAAGACGGGAAGGGGAAAGGAGAGAGAAAGTGGAAGGTAGGATCTCATGGAAGATGGGAAGGGCAGGGGCCGCCCCACAGCGGGGCACAGCGGCGCCGCGAGGGCCGAGCGCGCACCGCGCCCGGCGCTTTGGCGCCCCCTGGCGCCCGCGGTCCTGAGGGCAGGCCCGGCCCTGCTGGGGTCTGGAAGCGCCCGGGATTCGGCTCCTGGGCAGGGGACAAAAGGGGTGTACCTGAAACAACCCTGTCAGTTTTGAACGGTTGTCATAACAAAGCTTTTCTGGACTCAAAGCTGGGCCTGATATTTGCTTCTGAGAGCTTGTCTTTGTTAGGCAGCCTTGCCTGTGAGCCCCCTGCCAAGGACAGCCACTGCAACCACAAAACCCGAAACTGTCAGACCACACAAGGCTGGGGAAAAGCTGAGGCAGTGGAGGAAAACACGTGGAAAATAAATGGTTGGGAGCATCTTTGATACTGGTCTTAGCAGCCTTCTGTGTCACTGAAAATTGCATTAGAAATGTACCTTAGTACATAGGTTTGTCTGCACGTGTGTGATTTTTACACACAGACACACAGAAATTGAAACTTTGAAATGATGGATCAAAAAAGCTTTCTGTAATGAAAGGACCATTCCTTTCTTCATGTGAACGGTATCTTTGGACAGTCCTGCAGAATACAGTGTCATTTGCACTGTTCGGTATAAGTATTCATAAGAGCATGTTGTACAGTAACAACTTCTGGTCGATAGATATAGACCATGTCAGCAAAACCTGTGTCCACTGAAAGCCAAGGATGCCTTCCTTTCCTCAATTTTAACTCATTTTACAATGAGCTGCAAAATGAAGTGCAGCCTGTCTTTATGGATTAGAACAACTGGCAGATCAATACCTAGCCTGGAAATATGTATGCAGGTTTCCAGCACCCCTTTTGTAAATAACTTACGTTCTCTTTGCAGCCATGCCAACAGAAATCCCACAAAGCACCCCTTCCATGCCAATGGATTGTCTCTGCTGGTTTTTGGGTTGACAATGGGACAATGCAGGGCATGCTCCAGGGGGAGCGGTGCAAAACAAAACTAAAGTCCCCAGAAAGGTTTCTTGTGAGCAGAAATGTCAAATGATTAAATAATTTGAGTTCACCAAACTGAGACTTGCAAGTTAAAGATATACTATGGGGAAAAGAAAACGAAAAAAGTGCAGTTTCATAACATCAGAGATTGCATGTCCTGTAAATACAACTTCTCATAGCTTAGAGTATCATTCCTGGAGTAGATATATTAAGAGCATTTAAACCAAGATACACCCTACATGTTCCTTTATATTATAGTCAAAATAAGACTGTTTGGGCAACGACCAACTGATTACTGGTCATAAGTATATGGCCACAAAAATCTTATGTGTGGTAGTTGGGAACCATCAGCTGTAAATATGGAACATAGGCCTCTGAAACAGTTTAATATTCTTGTAAATTCTCTGTGTTTAAGTAAAAACTTGTTTTCACAGTTGTTTTAGTGGAAATGTAATGAACCTTTGAAGATAGTAGCCATCTATCACATGGAAAATGTTCACTTGTCATTGCTGTATTTCAGATTTGCATAGGCAAGCTGCCAACTAATCTCTAGCACTCTGATTTTCTAAGCACATGCTAAATTTTAAAACAAAACTAGACTAAACCAATACTCACATTTCAGAACATCCAAATGATAATAAAACTAAGAGATTCCTATGCTTAACAGCTTTTCATAGAAACCTCCATGAAAGGAAATAAAATCATTAAACTATATTAAATTATATTATTATCTAATTATTTGGTTTGGTGCCACAGAAGCATTTAGTGTGATCATGACTAGTAGATAAAAAAGAATTAAAGCATTATCCATCTTTTGATTGAGAATATTACATTGAAAACTCATGCCTAGAAGATTTCTAATAGTTAAAACCTGACTAGTATTTGCAATTTGGACTTCATCCTGTTTGTAGTTAATGCTGCAGATCCAGCTCTCACAGCCACAAATCAAAGACACAAATCTCAAAGACACAAATCAAGCCTGGGGCAAAATAAATTCATTTTATCTACAAAGGGACAGAACTGTAAGCCACAGAGAACATAGTGTCTACCTGCAACCCTGCTAGTAGAGCAGTACCTAATGGTATTAAAGCATATGTATTGAGTTTAAAGCAAGTGTCTGCAAATAGTCTTGGAAATGTTTTTATCTTTCAAGGAACAGTAAAATTCAAAACCTCGCCCCACCACTGACATTATGAATTCAATTCATTTTTTGTATAGGTTTTCAATTTGACTTGACTTAAAGATCCAATGCCTATTTGCAAGAATGATTCTTCAAGATTTAGTTATCTTTCCAGGCCCATCTCCACTGCGATTACGATGGCAAAGGGGAGATTAAACCTGATAATTAATCATGGTAGTATCTGCCAGCATACATCTGCAATCTTCACTTGTCACCTTCATTTTTAATCAGGGATTCTAATTAAGCCACAAGCAGCCTCAGGGTGTCAGTAGAATATAGCTCTATGCATCCAGAATCCCTACTTAGACTCTTCCTTTCTGCTTGCAGGCTCAGGCCTGGTTGTCAGAACAGGGACCCCAGCATCAAAGTTTGAGGCTTTCATTAAAGCCATTAAATTTTCATGAAATTTAGCCACTGGCATTCTCCAGTAGGATTGCAGCCTGACAACTCTTTCTGACATAAGAGCCCTAATAGCATGACACCATCCAGGCTTGCAGCCAGTACTAATACTCTTTTTAAGGTCTAATACCTGGTAATCTTGGTGCAGAAGCTCTTTCATTTTAGTATCTACCTTTATAGGTCTGCTGGGTCCATGTTGCCATTCAAAAAGATTGCATTCCTAATAAATATGGAGTGAGAGGGAGGGCTAAACAGGGTTTTCATACAATCTCTTCACCTCTAATTTCAAAGACTACAGTGTCTGACAACAAAATCACTCCATGCTCAGAAAATTCAGTCTCCCTCAAGAGCAGGACATATCCCCTTTCTCATAATCCCCTCTACAGGGCCTGTGATATTTTTCCTCAAGCTACTTCCTACCCTGTTTCTCTTGCAGCCCCTCTCCCTCAATAAGGATAGTCCCCAATTTCTCTCTAGCAGAGAGAAGCCTTCTGCTTTTAGCAACTTTTTACATCCGACTGTTAAAGACTAGTACTAAAGCAAAGAATAAAAGAGGAATGTTTTCTCTCAAGCTTGTAACATACCCTATGAAAAGCTTCATTTCCTCCTATAGTTACGTATATCTTTGGGAAGAAGTTTTAAACCACTGAGGTTCTGAACTGATGATGGTTTCTGCTCACTGTATTAATGTTTGGTCTAAATAAAAAATAGCAAAGGGGAAACTCACAGAGTTTTTAACTGTTTTCATTCCACGTGCTACTACAGAGCTGATCTACTGAAACTGAAGCAAAGATGAGAAATACCATGCCTGGCTGCTGCAGATTAGATGCCAGGTTCCAGAAACACTGCTGTACTGACAATAGTCACATTTTTATTGATATTATTTTATTTTTACTGACAGAAATTCAAAGAATTAACCATTTTAAATGTACTTATACAACTTAAGTTGGTTTTGTTCATTACCATATGATCATTCACAAAGCGAATGACAATCAGAATGAAAAATATAAGATCAGGCCCATATATCCAAAAATTAAAATTCCAAAGCTATGCATTTTCTTTAAAAAAAGTTTTTAATTTGTAGTGAACTGTAAAATAGACAATGGTACAGTAAAAATTGGATTATGAAACACATTGACTGTGCAAATTAAATACAAAATAGACCATAGTTCTTGAATCTAAGTATCAACCTTACTTGAATAAAAATCAGGACCTGAGGGTATACTGAACTCTATATATACATTGCAACAATTTTTAACTTGCCTGATAAAGAATATAAAAAGGAGAGCTGATTCTGAAAAATTAACCTAAGGTGAAGAAAAGATATTTTTCCAAAATATTATGATGGAAATGGTAGGTACATAGGTTTTAAAAAAAAAATTTGCTGCAATTTCTTAGAAATTCAGATATGCAGAGAGCATAGAAAAAGTACATTCAGAGGTCATCATTACACTTCTTTTTATAATTTTTTTCTGCTGGTTCTGAGATTGCCTAAGAGTAAATAAAATTAAAAGTTGAATAAAAGCTGACAAGAACTAAGCTTAATCCTTTTTCTGAAAACCCAGTTCTTTTTAGGACCTTCTTACTCAAGTGGGAACACTACAAATGCTGACATCTCCCAATAAAAATTAGTAACTGTATTGTAGAAATACCTAATAAAGTTTTGACTGAACTCTTCAAGTGAAGATGAAAGGTATTTATGATTGCAATGATACATTATTCCACATAATTGCCAGAAGAGATATATTTCTATTTTCATATGCTAATGGAAATATGGATAATAGGTTCTCCGAATTTTCATTGAAACTGATTTAATTTTGACTGGTTTATTCTTCATTTTCCATGTATCCCAGTGAATCCCAGTTGCAAGAAATCTACCTGTGTAGCGATGAACACCATTAAGATTTGCAAGGCCACACTTGCTGAACCACCATCCAGTGCTATCACTGAAGTTACTGCAGCTCTTTACAAGCTGTTCTTTAATAGTGCATGGCCTGCATCCATCATTATCAACATCAAAAGTGCTGAAAGGCATTGAATTCTGGTTGTCTTCTTTTCTATATCCTCTAAATGCATCACCTAAGCACAACAGATAGAACAGAAGGATAAAAAAAATTATTTATGGAAGAACATTTCCTACTTGTTGCGTATCTCACAAACTTTTCCTCTGAATTTATTAGAAAAATAGAATTCTTCAAAAACATTTCAAGAGCACCAGATAATGAGCAGGCAAAGTGTTAAAAATGAAGAAAAGAAAAAGAATCAAATACTGAGAAATATGAAAGAAGTTGAAATTCAATGAAACAACATCTTTATATTGTTGTTGCTTTTAGCAATGAATACCGGCTAGGAAGGTAAAGGTTTCTGTCCTCAAAGACAGAGGAACAAAAGATAAAGGAAACAAATAGGGTTGTAATTTAAGATTTTCCAGTAATGTGTCCAAAGTCCCAGAGAGACTACTGAGAAAAGATGGAATTTTAAAACTCAAAGGTCAGTGATTATTGGCTCTGTTGTCTTACTAAAGAAATACAAATACACTATCTTACAAATACAGGTAGAGTAAAGCACCAGCATCTTTAGAGAATAGCTGTTTCATTGGTAATAAGGAACATTCTTGCATATTACTAAACATGTAAAAAAAAAAAACAGAGAAAAAAGCAGTAAGATGTGCAATATTTAATGAAAACCTTTGCACACAGCTATTAAGAGAGGTCTGATATTGTAAATTAATTTGTGTCTATGTATCACCCAGTAACTGTTACACACTGCAGACCAACTTTGTTCACTCAGTTTCTTTCTCTACCCTTTGTGCATGACTGTCTGGGCACTTCTGAATTAACCAAAGCATCATCAGGAAGACTTCCACTAACATCAGCAAATCTGGGATGAGATAATGGACATCTAAAGAACTGTACCATTAGATAGATAAACACTAACACCTAAAAAATCCCTTATTTATTATATATATATCCCATGGACTTGAATCTGTTAAAGATCCTTCCTTTATTCATCTTTATTAAAGAAGAGTTTATTAAGTTACTCCATTAAGGACATTGATGTGATAAAGTGATTTCCTACTATGTAAAGATTAATGTTGGCATAACTAAAATTGCTATATCATCAACCATCTATCTGCATATACGTTCACTATGCACCAGAGAAAAACAAATTATAAATAATTTTTTAAATGTTATCTTAATTATTACTCTTTTGAATATATTTTTTCATATTAAGAAAGGGACCAGCTACTTTTAAGTACTTTAAAGAAGAAAGTTCTTACCAGCATTTCCTGAATAATGCCCCAAATGGATCTTAAAAAAACATGCTTCATCTTCTATCCAGAATCCATCATATGATGCATAGGCATGCTTGTCATTTTCTGATTCCAAGTCCACATAAAGATTGAAACTAGTGGCTTTTTGATTTACTATGTCAAAAATCTTCCTTAGTCCAAGCCAAAATTCCCCTTAAACAGAAATATAATATATAGTCTAGAAATGGAAACTGTAAAAGAAAAAATTATTGTTCTTTCTTTTCTACTTTTCTTCCTGAACCAAATGAAATAAAAGTTGTATGATAGGCTTGTATTCCTTTAAAAGACTAATGAAGGAACAGAGTAATTTTCCTACTTCCTTAGGAAATCCATGGAAAGAATTCGATGTGGGCACCATCTTTTTTCTCTATGATACTTTTTAGAAAATTGTCCACATGATAGATTTCAAACATTTGTCTGCAATATATCTTAGGAAACCACAAAAAAATGGATGTGCTAAAGATCCACTTGCACAAACGGAGTTCAGCATTCCTAAGGGCAGTACTGAGAAGTGATGAATGTTAGCATTCTATGAAACACAACAAAACACAAACCCTGTTCTCAGGATTTGCTGCCTCCGTAAATCGCACTTGTTGCCCCATATGAGCTGTGCTTTTTTGTACAGAAAAGCTGTGTGCTTCCATTGCAATCCCAGATAAACTTCTGATAAAGCAAATGGGTTTAGACTTGCTGGATGAAAGGTGGAAATAAAGAATTATTATCACAGTTGTGTTGTTATTAGCTACTGAAATATTTCTATTCTGTTTCTAACTTTGCTTGTCCTATGGTGAAATATTACTGATTTTTCTCTCCTTTAAGGAAATATTTTGCAAATGTGATTCAAACTAACTAAGGCTATTTTTTTTTAATCTGAAAAGAGAGCAAATACAATCTATACATTATTTCAGGTAGAAAATATCATATTTTAAACACCTCCTGTGAGACAGCAATGGCTAAAGACTCTAGAAGGGTCACAGTCATTACTGAGAAGATCATACAACAGATTTGATAAAAAAAATACTTATGCAAAAATAACTTAAGAAACAAGAACTTTATACTACTAAAACTCCTACACAATTTAGTGTTCACATAAAGGCAGTAGAAATGTAGGATACGAAGCACTTTAGAGTATTTAAAATTAATACCAGTAAGATCACCAAATCCATCCAGATATTCAGACCATGTTCTCTGGAATGGAATGATTCCATCAGTTCTTTTCTGAACCACAGTCCATCCACCTCCTCGAAAATCCATGTCACAAAAAACCTAAAAATAGACATAGATGTGACTTCAGAATTCAGATTCAGACTTCAAGTATTCTTGAAGGAACTGTTACGAAGAAAACATTTTAATTAAATAAAGGTGGGCCCAAGATGGAGCAGGGTCCTGGCAGAGACCTGCAGTCCGTGGAAAGGGCAGCCCACACTGGAGCAGGTTTGTAACCCAGGTAGGATTTGTGGCCCCTGTGGGGGACCCACGTGGATACAGCTCATTCATGAAGGACTGCAGCCCATGGAGGAGTGACCCACGGGACAGCAGTTTGGGAAGAACTGCTGCCTGAAGGATGGACTCATGACGGAGAGGTCCATCAAGGACTGTCTCCAGTGGGAGGGACCCCACAGGAGCAGGGGAAGGACTCCTCTCTCTGAGCAATGACAGAAACAACAACTGACTGTAACCCCCATTCCCCACCCCCTTGCACCACTGAGGAGAAGGGAATACATGGAAGGAAGGGGGGGGGGGGGGAAGGTGGTTTTAAGGCTGTTTTGTTTCTCACTCTTTTAGGCACTACACCACCTAAGTTGTTCAAAGTAATTCTAGGGATACTATACATAATGAGTATTTAAAAACAGAGGCTCATTGGTAAGTGCCTCCTAATGTGATTAATATCAGGAGAATTAACCTGGAAAATGCTTATAGCCATGGAGCTACTTGTGATAACAAAAGTAAGTTCAGAATGTAATGTTGGCTGTCATAACATTAAGCAGATGCCCAAGTGATGGAGTAAAGAAATTTTTGTTGATGTTACAGGGAAAGTACACAATGAAACATATTTCAGAAAAGAGAGATTTGCAATCTTAGCCAGTTGATAAAAGTAGAATCTAGGTGTAAGTCAGTTTAACCCTCAGCAAAATTTGTGGCAGGCTGAGTGTTATATGTTCCCCCCCATTGCCTGTACTAGACAGATATTTTTCACGAAACCAGACTTGTTCCTTGGCAGGAATGCATCAACATCATATTCAGAGCCTCTGTGACTTAACATCCTCTCAATGAACACCAAGAAAGCAACAGGACAGAGCTACAGTGTGGTCTAATATAACCTGGGGAATCTTAGATCTTCAAGTAAGCCAATGCCATTGAATGCTTTGGGCAATCCTTTCAACACAAATACTAAATGAATTTGTGTAAGGGTCATATGCATGAAAGAAACTTGTGGGCTTTATTCCCTGGAGAATCACATGCTTATTTCAGTCACCCAGGGAGGGTGGAACAGGAATAAAAAGAAATACAGAAGATTCCAAAATGAATATTTAAATGCGAATACCTAAAAGTCATTCAAAATAATCCCATTGCCTCATCTGCTGTCTTGAGAAGATGATTGCATGCTTGGCTACTCCTCTGACTATGAGTCAGAAATACTAAGAGGAGCCCGCTTGGTCACAACAGCAATCTTCAGTCCAATATAACTCAGTGGGAGTGTTGATAATTCTCAGAAGGAGCAGATTTGGTTCTACATGAGAGGTCATCAGCCAATTAAATACAGCACCAATACAAACAGCAGCTAAGTAAAATATGAGATAGATGATAGATAGATAGATAGATAGATAGATAGATAGATAGATAGATAGATAGATAAAGAGAGAGAGAAATACAGTCATAGCTGTGTAGTTTCTTTATTCCTTATAGGCTAGAAATGTTGCAATTGAAAAGCCTTATAAGACTTTACAGTTTGCTCTGTCTCATATAAGGTATGAGAGGCATGATTGTGCCAGGTGCAAATTAAATTAAATGAGCACAAGGATGCTTTCATTGACTATTTCTCCTCTTTCCATCTTCAGTGTGCATAAGAGGTATATTCCAAACAACTGTTTAGTTTGTCTGATCCACTTACAAATATCATTGATCTAATTTCACTAATTGAAAAATGTATCAGAAATTGATCATGATTAATTTTTCTAAAAGTGAAATTGGTTTTAATTGCCTCATGTTTAAATGCTCAGACAAAAGCCCATTTGGAATTAACTTTCTGAGATGCCAAAAACCTGCCAATACCACTGAAACTGGATATTTTTATTGCTCCTGGAATTCAGGTTTCAATTAGCCCAAGATATGCATCAAAATCTATACTCACTTTTGACAATATGAGGTTTTAAACATGAAAACATGAGAATAGAATCAAGTTGTTTAATATTTGTTTTCTTCATTAAACTGGTATCTTCATGCAAATGATTCTAAAATGATTCTAAATACATTCCTTTACATTAAAAGGGCAGTTTATTGCTGAAAAGGTCCTCATTGAAATAAATTGTTTATATCAGAATTCTTGGCTATTAGCCTCTAAAAAATGCATTATAATTTCTTGTTTATGTTTTAATGTCTTGATATTTTTGTTCCTTTATCATTTCCTCTACCTTTTTTATGCTTCCACACATGAAAGAATTTGCATAAAATAGTTTTCCTTAAAATAACATTCTTTATAGAACACATATTTTACATATTTTTCTCTGACAACTTTTTGGCCCTGTCTTTTAAGTTCTGTGCAACATCTACCAGACAAGAAATGAGATACTCATTTCATGACTGCAGATATTCTTCTCATTATTTATTTTTACCTTTTTCTTTTAATCAAATTATTATGATTTTTCTTTTTTGTTTCTTGTACTCCTTAAAGAACCTTTCCACTCATATAACTGATTTTCAGATTCTGGAAGTACCTTTAAATGTGGAAAAGTGGCAAAAATATTTTGAATGAAAAGAAATTTTATCATTTCAGATTTATTTGTCAAAACCTAAAAGTGAACTGAGAAATCACTTTTCTCACATAATTTTACCATCTCTCGAGACAAGTAATTTGGGTAAGGTATGAATATTTCCTCAATGGAATCCCCCTCACTCTAAAAGAAATTCTGAAACAAATGCACTTTTTGGTATGGTTCATCCTGGGGTGAGGCAGAAAGCATTTTCTTTATACTATAAATGTGGTTGTTCTGTGAACACTGCAACATCTCTCTGCCTTTCTTTCACATGGAAGGAACTTGCTGATGAGTTACAGACTGTTTTCCTGAGCTGACTGCATTGTAGAGAGAGAATGATAGGTTTTTGTATTGGGGGTTGCAGTCCATTTTTTTTTTTTTTTTACTATCCCAGCATAATTCTGAAGCCTTTTCTTAATCAGTTTGATCTCCTTTTTTGTAGCATTTTGAAGGGCTCCAATTGGCTAGAGGTAAAGGGATTCAGCCTTCCTTTGTTATATATAAAAGAAGACTATAAAGTTAGATATTAAACTTTGCTATTTATTAGTTAACCTAAATGTCATGTTTTTGTTTCAAAAGCTAATGTACTGCAAAGTTAAAGGTTTGAAAGTGCCATATCTGCTTTTCCACTATACATAAGGTCTTGTCTAGGTAGAACAGCCTGAAACAGAAGACATAAAACAAAATATTCCTTGTGTTTGCATGGATGTGAATGTCCTGAGCCTGAGGAAATTAACCCAAAATTCTCTTCTAGATGAACACCATAACTCACAGCAATAACATAAAGTGCAGGTGGTGATAGGAAGCATGACTGTTGCAGTTGTCTTAAGAATATATATCCTGCAAAATGGATATGAAAACTAAAATTTTAGATGCCTCTCTGCCTCAAGATTGGGTTATAATGATACTCACACAAGAGCTAAGTACCTGCTCCTCACAATAATGTACATCTGCCCCTATATTTAGATGCTTATAGGCATCAGTGGAGTCACACCACAAGAGAAGGCAATGCTATACAGCAGAATAATTCAAAAAGCCAAAAGTCCTATTTTGGAAGCCAAATGGATCAGTCGATTGGCTCTTCAGTTTTCCATCTCTAATAGAGAAAAGAACAGGACTTGTAAATGTCCAAAAGGGGTGCTGGAAAGTACCTTGGGTTTTCCTCTTTGGTACATTTTTCACTGCATATGAAAACTGACAACAGGTTCTTATGACAGAGATTAAATTTCTTTGTAAAACATGAGAAACTTGTCAAAATTATAGTAACAGCAGACACATGCAGAGGATTGACTACATTTCTTATTCATCCGTTGAGAAATTGTCAAGGAAAACACCTTAAATCTAATAAAAATATTCTAAGTGCGTATTCTCAAGCAAATTGTGACTATCCTGAGAGATAAATGTATTACCTCAAAAGGATAATTTGATCCTTCTGGATGGATAATGTACAGACCAGATGGAGTTTTTGAAACTGAACCAATGGTATCTTTAATATGAGTGCAGTCCAAACCTAGAGAAAAAAATTATTTGATGAAATTCATTAGCAAAATGTATTTTTTAAAAAATACAGATTAAGCACAGAAATATTACTATTCTTGGTAACATATGAATGACTTAAAATAGCATTTTTTTCTCATGCAAGCTTTAAAATCATGTTTTGTCATGAAATTATCTTGTAAATTCAAATTCTCTGATCTCTATTTAGCTCATAAGTAAGTATAAATTACACTGCATAGAGAAAGTTCTTTCTAATCTTAATAAATATGATAAAGAAATTAAAGATTATGTATCTGGGTAATTTTACAAATTTTTACATTTTATTTATAACATTTTATATTTTATTTATTACACTTGTACTGAGAAAAAGACATATTCTCTGGGAAATTGTATCTTTTTCCTACAGACACTTGTATTTATATTTGTAAAAGCCTTTTCATCTTAATGTATACAAGAAAAACCATTTGTCTCTAAGTGTTAAGCCAGGTACATGTTAAATATACTCAAAGAAGCAGTTTCCACAACCAGCATGGTTGCTTAGACATAATGTTTCCTTTAGTTTGGATTGACACTGCAAAGATCAACTGTCCAGTGAACAGTTGACTTACATCCTATTTGAAGAAGGATATTGCAGATGCAGAGTACACTTTATTTCACTGCAAAAGAACATGCCGTTTAGCAACATTAGATTACTTACTAACAGATAATCATACCTGGTATTTTGCATAAAAATCAACAACATGCTAAACAGGATGCCTGGAATTGTCAATTACCAATTATTTAAAGCAGTATTTATGACAACATTTTAAAACAGTTCATAAAGTTTCCAGAGTTTTTATACTACTAACATGGGATAAATGTCGAAGTTACAATTCCTTACCTTTGCTTTAATTAGTTTCTTGTCAAGATACAAAAGTAAAAAGGGAAGGTGTCAAGACTATATCTGAAAAATATTTACCATGAGATTGAACTGCTTTGTAAGGAAGTGAATCCAGATGCTTTCTCAAAACTACTGCATTCAAAAGAACAAGTTTGTTCTTGAGTTCATTTACCTGCAAATTCAAATAAAAGATCTTTAATTAGGTTGCAATGAGGAATTTTACATTCTAAAGATTTTTTTTTGCTCCTAGTAAATATAATCTGAAGTTTGTTTTTGTGATGTGTTAGTAAATTGTACCTTTATTAGGCAAATCGATCTTCTTTTTTACTTTTTTCATCCAAAATCACAATTCCGGTTCATTAAAAAAAAGTCCTTCAGTTTGATTAAAGCTTTTTATCTGTATTGAGTGATGCAAAGTGCTTGTAAAATACTATCAGAGCTAACAATAGTGTAATATGTTATCAGCACAAATACAACAGGACTGGAGATGGCAACTAATGGGAAGGAATAGCCCTCCACTTATGCAACTGCCATGTATGACACTAAGCTGTAAAACAAGTGGTGCTTATCACTCCTCGTAGAAATGGAACTCACACCCTACCCAAGGTAAAAGGAAAGGTGATAGAGTCTCTAATTCTACTGGTTTAATGACAATAATAATACTTATTTTTCCTCAGGTAAACAACACCTGTAGTGAGAAATAACAAATACAAATGTTAATGATAAAGAAAAAAGTACCTGACTAGAAAGGTAGTCCAAAGAAGACTGTTGATCATCCATCATGTCTCTCACCAGTTTTTGTGTACTTCTTGCATATTCAACAAGAGAGTCCTGCAAATTTCCTTCAAAAGAAATATGTTCATCCACTTTGTTATCACAAATCTAGAATTATTCTTGACCGAATGACAACACACTTATTTATGATATCTATGTGAATAGTGAAGGTGTTTTACCTTATGGCACCTGAAAGTGAAATGAAAGTAGTACAGAGACCACAAACTAAAGCCAAAGATGCTAAAAACTTCAGACTCGCTAATTGCAGTAAAGATATCTTAAGAAGTGATGGCTCTTCTTATGTTTTGAAGAAGAATTTCATCTTATCCTTGGGCAAATTGGATGACCAGTTAATGGATATCACACAAATATAAATGCAAATGATAAAAGACAGATATATAAGATTTCCTATCATCCTACATTTGCTCATTCACTGTGCTATTTCTGTTTTTTGCCCTGATGCTAAAAATAAAATAATCATCATCATCATCTGGACAGATAATTAATAATATATACTAAAAAATCATATGTGAAAACCAAGAATTTATACAATTGTTTTCTGAGGCTGATTATATCACTTGCTGTGTAGTTTATCAAGGTAGTGATAGAGAGTGCCCTGTGTATGCATGTATAAAAGGTAAACTGAAGTACAGATTTACTCCCACGTAACTAACTAAATAACAAACTAACTGACTAACTCCTGCTTAACATCCCCACACCTAGCTATGATATTTAAATGAGGGATAGACATCCTGCTCTCCCTCCCTAATGGAGATAGATACTGACGTTCAGAGGGTAACACAGACCTAGGTGAGCTGTGTTGCTGCTTAGATTTGTCTGTCTTCACCCATGATTATACTTTAACTTTGTCACACCAGCTGCATCCCAAAAACAGGGCACCCCAAATTTTCTGAACAATACTCAGAATCTGGGCAGCAGGGTCAAAGGCTGCCACATGTGCTCAAGAAGATTAAAAGATAAATTGGTACAGAATAACGTAGCATAGCAGAGGATTGCATAGCATGACATTGCATAGCTCATCACTAAAAGTATTTTTTATGAGTACATACTGCACATGTAATGTTTTTCCGCTCGTAAAATTTTAGCTTGAGCATCACATGGTACAAGGCATAGTTCTTTTTCTTTTGAAATGTCTGCAGATTTATTTTTCTCTTCTGCCTTGAGTGGTCCCTCCACAGCTCCAACATTCTTTGTGTCCTGTTGTACCAAAAAATGTAGGGGGAAATAAACTGATCATAAAGCATATATAAAATAGCTCATCCTGTCAAAATAAAGTAGGTTGCTCCACAGATCTTCCTTCAAAACCTCTTTCTTTAAAGCTTGGTCAAGCGATAATTGACAAAGCTGAGGCCAAAACCAATTAGATGTTTTCTGCTTAGCCATACCTCACAAGAAAAAGATAGTGTCAGGGGTAAAGAATAACCTCTATAAATCTAAAAAATACCACCAACATTTCTGGTGAGGTATTCTGCCTGTGAGCACTGTGAACTAGAAGCAAGAACGTGAAAATCTTGCAATTCAGAAGCTCACATTTTAGAAATCACCACACCCAACAAACATCTCAAATGTTGACAGAGCATTTTCACCGGAAAGGAGCAGGCTTTTGGATTTACCAGATATTGGCAAAATACTTTTACTCTTGAAAATCCCTAAATTATTTACTCAGACACTGATCAGGGAAATACTTGCATAAGTTATTAACCTATGCATTTAAGAAGTCTCAAGCAGATTTAAAGACAAATTCAGCATTACAAAAAAAGCATTTTAAATGTTCTTATAGAGGAATGAATAAAGAGACAGTATTCATGGGCACACAGTTATGTGAAATAGTAAGAATAAAAGCATTAGTAAAAGTAGTTACACCTATTAATGTTATTTAAAATAATATTTTCCTGTTTAATAGTTTTTTATTCTATGGTGTCATGTGACATAAAATAAGGGAGTGCCTCTGAGTCATCACTTAAAGAAATGTTAAAAGTAATTCCTGAAATATGTGTCACTGACAAAAGACTAAACAACATATTTTCATGAGTCTTTGTTTGTTGATTCCATAATCTCAGCAAACCATTTGCAGTATGTTTATATGATGTATTTTCAAATGTAAATAGGATTCTTAGACAATTCAAGGTTTTAATGAAGAAGAAAACTTATTTGGACTCGAATATATCTTCAACATAGTTGTTCTTTCCTGCTTCAGTTTTTTTCTTTCTGGTATTGGCACTGCCCTGGCAAAGCACTGAACAAATTTTTCTCCTGATTTTTGCTTTTAAAAAGTAAAACTAAAAATTACATAAAACTCTTAACAAGGAGATTTTACAAAAAAAGGTTTCCAAATTACTAGTATAATTGCATTTTGTGCCTGGAAATAAATGGTAGAAAAGTAAAAGAATATGTTTCTTTAATTTTGAAATAAGCACAAAGTAAAGGAGGAAAAATTAGGTAAGAGTTATAAAGAGATCACTTGAAATTTATAAATAGATTACTTGAAACTATGGCTTGTTCCAGGACATTATCACAGCTACTCATCAGATGTTCAATTAAATACTCTCAAGCAAATATTTTTAATCAATATTTATCTGTAACAAAAGCCAACATGAACAAGTGATTAAGGGTGAACTCAGCAATTCAGGCAAAAACTGTGACTCTGCCAAAAACAACAGTTACTTTTCATTTAGAGTCATGCAGATGAGATTAAAAATATGACATAACAACTGAGCTGTGATAAAAGACATTAACACAAAAATGTTCTAATATCCTGAAGTCCTACCATTTCAATGTACTTTCTTTTCTGAATCTGAAAATATCTGATTCTTCTGTATTTTCGTATCTATCTTGAATAAGGCAATCTACATCTTTAAAACATCTGTCACTTTTCTGAGAAATCATTCAGTTACATTCATTATCTTTTCTAAGCAAAGTAATTGAAAATCTTACCTTACATGCACAATGCTTGCCATTACTTATGTCAGTCTCTCCTAAACTGAACAAAAAAATATTAAGACAAATCAGTGAAGTTACCCTAAAGTGGTAGTTCATCTTTTACTTGAAGAAATGCAAATGTTTTAAACAGGTTTCAAATTTCTGTGGAAAGGATTGTACACAATGAAGTCCTGAGCTAAGTATTTGGGAATGTCTACAGCACAAAGGGCAGCCAACACATCAGTCTTTTACTGCCTGGATTTAATAAATCATATTTTAACTGCACGGTAGAATTTATATACTACTTCTTGCATCCTGAGGGAAATTACTGCTTATCACCTCTACATGACACATCAAACACATATATTTTTATTGTGATAAACTCTGACAGATTTTCTTATGTGCTACTTTTGAGCATTGGTATATATTTGGCATGAGTGGTCTTGGCTACTTGAAAGAAAAACTAGTATTAATCGATGTCTTCAAATTTTTACAAAGGTTTTTATCATTAAAATGAAGATGTTTGTATTGTGGTGGTAGTGCACTAGGACAGGCGTGGAGGCAATTTTGGAATATGCCATAAAAGCGAGTTCAAAATAGAAAACTGAAAAACATTATTTTAAATTAGTACTTTGTATTACATAGAAAATGTTTACTGGGGGGACAGTAGGAGTCTTGTGGTCTGAGACCACTTGTAGGAACACAGGTACTGAGAGTGAGACAATCATTCAGTACAATGATTTTTATCCCTGAAGAATGTCAAAGTACAAGAGAATGGCCCAAAAAAAGAAGAAAATTAAATGTAGTCCACATAAGTTTAATTAACACTATGCGACACTAACAGTTTTCACACACCCAAGTCCACTACTTTTGTACCTAAAAACTGGATCTGATATTTTAACAAAAAAAAAATTATTAAAGAATTTAAATTGTCTGTGCTCTGGCTGAATAAATGAAACCTCAGCTTCTAATGTGCCACTGGGAGATACACTTTTTAAAGAATATTCAGAATACACTGTTCAACAGTACCTTACCCTGGTACAGTCAGATAATGTTCCAAATTTGTCTTGATAATGTGGTTCATCTCCATCCCTGTCTGAAGCTGGAATACACAATAGCTTTTGCTATGAAGAGATTTGAAAGCGTTTGGGAGCAGAGGATTAATATAATTTTAATTCAGTTTAATACAGATTTAATTCAGTTTTTTAATCCATTTTTTGCTTTAAAATTAATAGCTAAAGGGTACTAAGCACGTGTACCTGAGAGGACCATATTCAACTTCTTGTGAAATTCTAAACAACTTTCATTATTCTGTACCTCTCAAAATCACATTTTTATTTTTTTCTGAAGTACCACATGGAAAATCATAGTTTTCCAATATGAAAATTACAAGAGTTTGACTAGTGCATCAGTTGATTCTCTCTCAAGAAGACACAAGTTTTGATTCATAGTTCAACCTCAGGAAGGTGAAAAGATTTTCATGGTTATCTATACATTAAGAGGGACAAAAAAGTTTTTCTTCTTTCTATGCACAGAAATAGGCAGAGGTGACAGATTTCAGGAAGGGATGGTTAAAATATTGAGAATATTGACTGAATTTCTTCTCCCATGCAGTCACATGCACAGCTTGGAGGAATGGGGCATGAAGCAAATTAATCCCCCACTGCAAAAAGAAGGAAAGAAAAATGTGTTTCTGCAGCAGCACAGCTATGCTGCAGCCTTCGAATAAGACTTGTAATAAATTCAGAATCCTTCTCACAAAGTTTTAAGATCTGATCTTTATCCTTCACTGGAATATCAGTGTCTAGCCCAGAATAAAATAATGAAACTTCTTTCAGACCAACTGCCAGAGCTGGACCTTCCATTCTGTAACTACTTAAGATAAGGCTAGTTGCTGTCCCAGAATAATCATATGTCTCAGAAATACAGGTCCTCAGCTAGTCACCTTCTCATCCCACAGTCTGAAAGATGTGAGGTTACCCATGAGGAAGAATTATCCAATAACCATAAAACAGGACTGTGAGAATGTAAGAAAAATTTAAAGAAGGGAAAGAGAGAAAGATATATAAAAACTATTCTTACTTCTAAATCTCAGAAAGTATCTTAAGGTGAAGCTGCAAGTTGTGCTGTATTAGATCAAAATTTTCAGTAAATCTAAAGAAGCTCAAATCTGCCAGCATGAGTTGATCATGAACTTGAATATTCTAGATGTGCCATGGGCTCAAATTCTGCAGTTTTTTCCCAGCTCTGCTTCAGTCTTGCTTGGGTGACTCAGTTCTCCATACTGATAAACCCTTCTGCTAATAAAAGCATCCTAAATGAAACAGTGTATTTTATCAGGCAAACTTGGATTTTAAAAAGTTTATGTGGGTTGGAAAGCATATGGTGGTAAAGTGACAACCACTTTTCTACCTGCAACACAGGTGAGCAGATGGGGCAAAGAGGTGATGAATTTGGGGCTAGTATTGTGAACTAGAGGTGAAAGACTTCCATTTTAGGGTCATTTCTCAACTGTGGTAACTGCGATATTATAAATATTATGCACATTTGATGACCTCACCATCAGTGATCTTGACTGTAAAATGGCAATAGTAACACCTACTTCACAAGTTGTGCTACAAAATAGGGGGGAAGGGGGCTGGAGGACGGAGTGTCTGTGGAGAAAAGTATTTTACAAATGCCCAGTACTATTTTTACCTTCCTAGTCAGAGACATAGAACAGCTGCACAGTGGAAAAAAAAAATTAAAAAAAAAAAAAGGGGGAAGAATTGGTTTAAGCTGAAACACAACAGCCAAGAAATGTCTCGCCAGGAAATCACCAAGGCATTTAGCCTGTTGCTGACAGCTCATCCAAGGCAGAGTAATATCCCAAGACAACCTTGCTTTGCCAAAAAAAAAAAAAAGTTTTGCATTTTTAAGAGCAAATTACTGTTTTGTTTTGTTGGCTTTTTTATTATTATTATTTTGTGTAACTTTATTTAATTTTTTTAATATTTTCTATAAAATTTTATACAATTTTACTTTTTAGTTGTTGTTCTTATGGCTTCACCCTGTGGTAAAAAAAAAAAGTTTATGCTGTAACTCCAAGTCTTCACCATCAACAGGTCTCAGAGGCACTCTCAGAGAGCTCTAGAGCTCGGCAACGGAACTCCCGAGGACGTGTTTTCGTTCGGATACCGGGTGCGTTTCGGGTTTTCAAGTGGCACTGCGCGGTTTACAGCGGTGCCGAGGGGATGGACAGCAGCGCAGTGTCCGGCGCCGGTGTCCCTGATGGGACGGGAAGGCCCGGAGAGAGCGAGGTGCCCAGGCGTGGCTTCCACCCTGGCACGGGGACCGACAAGGACCCGCGAGGCGAGGCGGTGCCGGGGCCCACCCTGTCCCTTGCTCCCGGCTTGGAGAAAGCACAGGCACGCCAGCCAAACCGGCTCCCCCCTCCCGCTCCCCCGCCGCGGCCCCGCCCCGTTGCGAAGGAAGCGGCGTCCCCGGTTGCCACGATGCAGCGGGGCTGGGGCCGGGGCCCGGCACTGACCGCGGTGCCGGGGCGCTGGATGGAGCCCAGCGGGAAGGGCGGCGGGGCGGCGCGGGGGCAGCACCTCCCCGGAGCCCCGCAGGACGGCGCGGGAGGGAGGCGGAGCGCCCCTGGGTATCCTTCTGCGAGCCGTGCGGGGCTGGGGCCGGGTCCGGGGCCTCGGGCGGGCTCTCGGGGTCGGCTACGCTGTGTGGGGCCCGTGTGGACCCCGTGTGGGGCAGGGGCGGCGGTGGCCCAGCCCCCGCCCCGCCCCTCGGTCAGGGACCGCCTCAGGGGTGGCCTTAAATTAAAACTTACCCTTCGTGGGTTTTAGACTGCTGTGGAAGTTCGAATTCCCGAGCAGCCTCGGAGTTCTTTTGTTTTCGCTCTTCTAGGAGGCTCTGCTACTGGGAACTGTGTTTTCCATCCCAAGTGCTACTTAGATCAGTCTTGCCTCCTGCCACTAATGATTTGTCTCCGTGGAGAGCTTTTATGCAGTAATGTTAATCAATTTCAGTGTAAACAACTAATACTTTAGGTGTGTGGAGGGGGTGTTTTTGCTATTGAATCATTTTCCCTGTGGTACGTGTGTCCATATGTTACAGATTTAGATAACTACAGAAATATGTCCCTACAAATGAACATAATAAAGGTGAGATTATTCAGCTGGTGATCATCATGAAAGATGAGTGGAAAGCTTCTCTTAAAATCCCTTTAAACAGTAATATACAATTACATTCTTTTCCGGATAAGCATAAAGTTAGTTATGATTATAACATACAATTATGGGACCAACTATTGCATCCTTAGTCAAAAAAGGCATAACAGCATTTTGTATCTCATCAATAAAGTTTGCCCTTTCCCGAAAAGGGGAAATATAAAAATCAATCAAAAATTTAAAGTCAATCAAACAGGCTGTTCAATCCAGTTTCTATTGTCCTTAACACAATACTAGGGATAGAGCTTTAAAATTTCATTTTGAACAGGATTTAGAAGAAGAACGTCGGACATTGAAAGAGGATCAGAAATTACATCGGAGTAAGGCACAAAAATATTTGATGGAGACAAACAGAAGAAGAAGGTAACTAACTAAGGTTCCTTTGGTGGAAGATTTAAAAAAAAAAAAATCAAAACCTTGAGACAGCTCAATATATCTCTACTATTTGCATGTTCACCTTGGTCTAGCAGAGTCCAGTTTCTTGCTATAGGACAAATAAAATGCAGAAAGAACAATATTCTGATTTACTCACTAATTTTTGGAAACTCACTGTAGTCACCTCTTATTGTATAAAGTAAAAGTAAGTAGCATATCTGTCTTGTGGCTCTGATCTGCATTTCTAGTATTCTTCTGAGTTTTATTAGCTTCAATGGATGTGTGAAAAATGCACTCAGCTGCACAGAAAGGACCAGGAAGCTGGAAACTCTTGTTTTCTTCTGAAGTGTATGCTTTTCTGTCTGCACAGCATAACAGCTGCACAACCTCCCCTTCGTGGTGGGGCTTTGTGCTCCTGCTTCCCAATAAACACAGAGCAACATCTTTCTAGTACAGGATTATATTTATAACAAAGTTATTCTGTACTGACATTTTAAACAGACCTTTGAATAGTCTGTATTTCTGCGTACATGAGAATGCAAAGCCATGAAATATTCTGTGACAAATGGATTAAGTAAATCAGACACTGAAATGTTTCAGTGAAGTGCTTTAAGTAGTTTTAATAGATTTTCTCCCTCACACTGGACTTGTGCTCACACATACAGGAGAATTGCCTGTGTATTCTGTAGAGGCAGATGGGTTCCTCCTTGCCAGTCCCCAGCCTCAGGCCCAGCATCCTCTGCCTCCTGTTAACTCATTAACACTCATCCCCCACAGTTCCTGTGTCAGATGATTTCTGCTGTACAATGTTTACTTATTGACATATGTTCATAACTCCTAAGAGAGGTGGTATATATTTTTTATACTGCCATTTTAGCTTGACAGTATGTGCTGTCAACATATGTTTTGAAATATAAAGAAAAGTGGAAGAGGAAATATAATCACCTGGGAGTGATTAAAGACTGTGCAACTCACAACCTTTGCAGACAATAAACTGAGTCTCAGTTGAAAAATTAAATATGTAATTTAGTTTTCTGGAACAGGACCACTGAAACACTACACATCTCAGATGAATACTGTTTATTGTATTACTTGTCTTGAAATATTATACTCTAATATAAAAGCAAATACCAGACAGCCTGCATAGTTTTGACAGACTGGTGTAGTTAAGCTAATACTCATTGATAGTTAAATACATTTCCATATGTATTTCATTACAACTTTAAGAAACACAGTATAAATCCAAGTTACTCAGGTGAGCCAGTTAAAAATTATAGATATGGTATTCATAAAATGAAATTGTTTCAAATTGTGATAATTGAGAATGGCATAACTATTAGCATAATAAGCAGCTCAAATGGAAGTCTGGTATGACAAGTCTGAGGAGTTAGCTATCTAATGTTAGAAAGGTATTAAGTGCATACAGTTTTAATAAGCTGTGAAATATAATTAAAAATTAAGGGTCATTGCATATATGGAGGAATGTAGTTTGACAATAAAAGATTCCTTGAATCTGAGTATTTTTTCCAGACAGTTTTGCAGGTAGGAATTGATTAATCAACCACCAGGTCATGTCTCAAATCTGTGTATGAGCCAAGAACCATTAGCTTTGTTACACATGTAAAGGTAAGGGCCTGTTGTTGGCTCCTGTTGTACTTGTTGTCCAGCAGGGCCCCCACATCTGGGGTTGTTCCTCCCCAAGTGCAGGACTTTGCACTTCCTCTTGTTCAACTTCATGAGGTTTCTGTCAGCACATTTCTCCAGCCTGTAGAGGTCCTTATGAATGCCAGCACAACTCTCTGGTATATCAATCACTCCTTCCAGTTTGGTGTCATCTGCAAATTTAACTGCGAGTACACTCTGTCCCATCATCCAGATAATTTTTGGTCAACACCTGGCTGAACATGAGCCAGCAGTGTGCCCAAGTGGCCAAGAAGGCCAATGGCATCCTGGCCTGTATCAGCAATAGTGTGTCCAGCAGGACTAGGGCAGTGATTGTCCTGCTGCATACAGCACTGATGAGGCTGCACCTCAAATCCTGTGTTCAATTTTGGGCCCCTCACTACAAGAAAGACATTGAGGTGCTGGAGTGTGTCCAGAGAAGGGCAGTGAAGCTGGGGAAAGGGCTGGAGCTCAGGTCATATAAGGAATGACTGACAGAGCTCAGGGTGTTCAGCCTGGAGAAAAGGCGACTCAAGGGAGACTGCTGTCTCTACAACTACCTGAAAGGAGGTTGTAACAGGGTGGGGTTTGGTCTCTTCTCCCAAGTAACAAATGCTATAGGATGAGAGCAAATGGCCTCAAGTTGTGCCAGGGGAGGTTTAGGTTAGATACTAGGAAATTTTTCAGTGAAAAAGGCTGTCAGGCATTGGAACAGGCTGTTCAGGGAAGTAGTGGAGTCACTGTTCCTGATGGTGTTTAAAAGATGTGTAGATGTGGCACTTAAAGTCCTGGTTTAGTGGTGGACTTGGCAGTGCTGTGTTTGTTGTTGGACTTGATGATTGTAGAGATCTCTTCTAACGTAAATGATTCTATGTTTCTATGTTTAATGAAGATGTTAAACAGGATTAGGCCCAGTATTGACCTATATTGTTCAACACTATGTACTGGCTTCCATTAAGACTTTGTTTCACTAACCATCATGTACTTGTAATGAATTTTCTAAATATACTTGTAATGCAATTTTCCCTGACAGTGTTGTATT